AGATATTCCATTCCATGTATCTACGTAAGCTCAAAGGAAGGTCAGAGACCACAGAAGACAACTTCCTTCCTTCTTCTTCTCCCCTTCTCTTCCGTCCATGGCCAGCATCCAGGGAGGACTTTGTTCATCCATCACCGTCGATCCTCAGGCTTGATCTCTCGTGACCCCCATAACTCTCTGTTTTCTCCAGCAGGAGCTCCAGGATTCCTCGGGACTCTTCCCAGTTCAGGGAAGTGCTGTGGGAGTTGCTGGGGTGGGGGGAGGCGAGAGGCTTTTGCCCATACCTGAATCTATCTGTATATAATTGTATATTTTTCTTGTATCATTCATTAGTGTTTTAATTAAAGCTGTGTAGTTTAGTTTTCAATCCAGCCAAGTCTCTCTCTCTTTTTCTCTCTCTCCTTCCCTACGTGGGTTGGGGGGAGGGGGGATCAAGAGCATTGTTGTCGGACCTGAGTCAAACTGTGACAGGATTGTCCCCCTGTGCTGGGCACTGGTGAGGGGGCACCTCGAATCCTGGGGTATGTTTTGGGTCAGAAAAGGGACATGGAGGGGCTGGAGGGTGTCCAGAGGAGGAAAATGAAGCTGGAGAAGGGACTGGATCTCCAGCCTTTGGATCATCTTGTTTCCCAAGGAAACGGGACCTACTGAGCTGTGTGCCCCAGGAGCCCTGGGACCCCCTCCCCTGCTCCCCCCAAGCTAGGGGGCCTCAAGCCTCATTTCACTCCTGCAGATGGAAAATTGAGGTGGGAGGAGTAGCCCCTGGGTCAGGGTGGTGGCCGGACCACCTGGGGTGTGGTGGGTGCTGAGCTCCAGGAATGCAAGTCCAGGAAGAACTCTCTGCCAAAGGGAACAGGAAGGATCTGCCAGCAGGGCCAGATGCTGCTTCTCCAAGTGGAATTGTTTGAGGCCAAGCTGAGGAGCTGACCCAAGAGGCCCCAAGGGTGGAGGGTTGATGCAGGAGCTCCATGGGGTGAGGCTCTGCCTGCTCTGCTGGAGATCTTGAGATCTTCAACCCCTCCTCTCCCTCCTCATGCAGCTGCCTGAGGGCTGGTCCCCATCTCCCAGACCAGGGGTGTCCCTGGGAATGCCCAGGAGCTGTTTCTTTTTTCCACATTACTTTTTTGCTTATCCATGATGCCAAGGAGACACGGAGAGGAGAGGACCTGGAGCAAACCCAGCAGGTCTACAAGGTGTCCCAGCCCATCCCTGGAGCTTTTCCCCTCAGAAGGAACCTCACAAAGCCCCAGTTCCCTGTGGTAAACTGAGCTCTATCTGGAGCCAGTGCTCCCAGATCCCCTCCCTGCCCGTCCCCCAGGTCCCAGGTTGACCTGCAGACCCTGGTGACCACCCTGGGCTTTATTTGTTTTCAAAGCCTGGAATTCTTGACCAGCATCATGAGCAAACAGGGGGAGCCCCAGGTGGTGGTTCAAGCTGGGCAGTCGTGTTTTCCTTCTGGGCAGGGCAGCAGCCAGGTGGACACGTCAGCTCTGCCTTTGAAGGACTAAAGTCCACAGCCTATGTAGATCTGTTGAGATCAATAAAGCCCCAAATGGGAGAGATCAACTCCCCAAGGTTGGAGCTCTTGCCTAGAACCAGGTTTATGTCCCCCCTGGAGCTGTGGCTGTGGTAGGGTGATGCTGGCAGGTTTGCTGCACCACTGTGATCTGCTAGAGAGCAGCTCCATGGAGAAGGACCTTGGACAAGCGATCCATGGGACAGCAATATGGTCTGATGGCCAAGAAAACCCATGGAATCCTGGGCTGCATTAACAAGAGTGAGTCCAGCAGGTCAGAGAGGTTCTCCTCCCCCTCTGCTCTCCCTTGGTTCCTTGGTTAGACCACATCTGGAGAACTGTATCCAGTTCTGGGCTCCCCAGTTCCAGAGAGACAGGGATTTACTGGAGAGAGTCCAACAGAGGCTACAAGGATGATGAAGGGACTGGAACATCTGTCTGATGAGGAAAGGCTGAGGGACCTGGGGGTCTAGAGAAGAGAAGACTGAGGGGGGATCTAATTTATGTCTGTAGGTACATGAGGGCATCAAGAAGGCAGGGACAAGCTCTTGTCACTTGTGCCCTGTGACAGGACGAGGGGCAGTGGATTCAAACTCAGCACAGGAAGCTCCACTGCACTATGAGGAAGAACTTGTGTCTTGTGAGGGTGACAGAGCCCTGGGACAAGCTGCCCTGAGAGGTTGTGGAGGCTCCTTCTTTGGACACTATCAAGACCCACCTGGATGCCTTTCTGAGTGACCTGCCCTAGTTTTGGTCCTGATCTGGCAGGGGGGTTGGACTCAATGATCTCCAGAGAGATCTCCCTTCCAACCCCACCATTCTATGATTCTATGATTCTGGGCTGAAATCTGAGATTTCTGTTCTGAAGAAGGTTCTGTGGTGGGATCTGTTGGTCAAACCTCCCCTGAGAGCTCCAGCACCTCCCAGGTGGAGCCACTCACCTTCCTGAGGACATTTTCCGTTGGTTTTCTCATTACTTGTCCTTTTTATTCTCCACCCATGGTCAGGAACTTCTTGCAGCCAAACTGCTGCTCTTAGAATTATGGAATTGTTCTGGTGGGAAAAACAGGTAAGATCTTCCAGTCCAACCTTTCATCCCCTGGGGCTTTCCTGCAGATCCAGCAGGTCTCAAGCAGCATCTCCTTGGACCTTGGACAAGCGATCCATGGGACAGCAATATGGTCTGATGGCCAAGAAAACCCATGGAATCCTGGGCTGCATTAACAAGAGTGAGTCCAGCAGGTCAGAGAGGTTCTCCTCCCCCTCTGCTCTCCCTTGGTTCCTTGGTTAGACCACATCTGGAGAACTGTATCCAGTTCTGGGCTCCCCAGTTCCAGAGAGACAGGGATTTACTGGAGAGAGTCCAACAGAGGCTACAAGGATGATGAAGGGACTGGAACATCTGTCTGATGAGGAAAGGCTGAGGGACCTGGGGGTCTAGAGAAGAGAAGACTGAGGGGGGATCTAATTTATGTCTGTAGGTACATGAGGGCATCAAGAAGGCAGGGACAAGCTCTTGTCACTTGTGCCCTGTGACAGGACGAGGGGCAGTGGATTCAAACTCAGCACAGGAAGCTCCACTGCACTATGAGGAAGAACTTGTGTCTTGTGAGGGTGACAGAGCCCTGGGACAAGCTGCCCTGAGAGGTTGTGGAGGCTCCTTCTTTGGACACTATCAAGACCCACCTGGATGCCTTTCTGAGTGACCTGCCCTAGTTTTGGTCCTGATCTGGCAGGGGGGTTGGACTCAATGATCTCCAGAGAGATCTCCCTTCCAACCCCACCATTCTATGATTCTATGATTCTGGGCTGAAATCTGAGATTTCTGTTCTGAAGAAGGTTCTGTGGTGGGATCTGTTGGTCAAACCTCCCCTGAGAGCTCCAGCACCTCCCAGGTGGAGCCACTCACCTTCCTGAGGACATTTTCCGTTGGTTTTCTCATTACTTGTCCTTTTTATTCTCCACCCATGGTCAGGAACTTCTTGCAGCCAAACTGCTGCTCTTAGAATTATGGAATTGTTCTGGTGGGAAAAACAGGTAAGATCTTCCAGTCCAACCTTTCATCCCCTGGGGCTTTCCTGCAGATCCAGCAGGTCTCAAGCAGCATCTCCTTCCTCATTCATGGGTGCTGAGAAGGGGAACACCTCCTGCAGCAGGTTGGTGACAAAACAGGGCATCTCCTTGCACCCCTCGTAGGTGCCCCTGGCCTGGCAGTGACAGGCCACCTCCCAGTTGACACGGGTCAGGAGGCGGTGGAGGGCCAGGTGACGTTCCTCCCCCTGCAGGACCTTCAGCAGGGCCTGGAGGAACATGGAGCCAGAGGGGTTGAGGAAGGCGACGTGACCTGTGGAGGAAGGAGAGGAGTGTTGGTTCTGTGATGGTGACATTCCCCAGAGGAGACGTCCCTGTAGTGCCAGGGACAGTCCTTCCCTCACCCGGGCTGCAGGCGAACATCACCACGGTCTGGGGTGGGATGGAGAGGCAGGATGAGAAGCAGTCAGGTCCAGGTTCTCCACTGTCACACTCAACTGTCACTCCCGGGTCGAGTTGTGTCCCCCGACAAGCCTGCGGGCAGAGCGGCCACCTTGAGCTCTGTCCTCCCCCTGCTCCTCTCCAGGGTGAGCTCCACACATTCCTGCCTCCATCCCCTTCCCCCTCATCCCTCAACCTTCCCATCCCATCCCTTGACCTTCCCACCTCAATCCCTCCACCTTCCCATCTCATCCCTCAACCACCCCATCCCATCTCTCCACCATCCCCACCCAATGCAGCCTCACCTGGATAAAGAAGATCTTGGGAATTCTGGTGAGAGCCAAGGAGGTGGCTGAGGATAACAGCTGGAAAATCCAGGTCAGCTGCACCGGCTCCGAGTCACAGCCAAAGATGACCCCCTCCTCTCCATGGCTGGAGATGATGGTCACAAAGTAGTCGCCGTGCTGGTGGCCACACTCTGAAGGGACACAGCCACATAGTGCCACTGGACACCAGTGGGAGGGGGAAAGCGGGAGGCAGGTGGACTCGAGGGCAGGGAGGGGGCTTGGGGCTGGCAGGGCTTGGGAGAAGGTCCTTACCCTGCTGGAAAAGATCTTCTATCTCCTTGGCCGTCTTGTTGACCATCAGCTTCACTGTGTAGTTGAGCTGGGAGAGGATCCTGGAAAGCTTCTCTGCTTCCCTCCGGGCTCCTCTCCGTGTCCCAAGGGCCACCTCACCCTTGCAGCTGGAGAAATGGGTGTTGACAATGATGAGAGCCCGGCTTGGCCTGACCTGGGACATGCTGGGATGTCCCCTCAATGGGTGAGTGGTCACCAAATCCCCCCCACCACTGGTGGGGAGCTCAGGCTGGGCTAGTTCTGAGCCCCAGGTACTCCAGAGGAGCAGCTCCACCAGCTGATTGCCAAGGACAAGTGCCCTGTCATCTGCTGAGCAACCAAGATGGTACCTTGGACCTGTGAGTCAGGGTTCATTGCCACCTGCTGCAGGGCTGGGCTGGCACAGGCAGCTTGGAGCTTCCTGGGTGGTGGCAACTGCAGATTAGCCACCAGTGTCTTCTGGCAGCCAGGAGGACCAACACTGGCCTGGGTGCATCAAGAACGCTGAGGGAGGTAACTGTCCTGCTTTGCTCTGCTCTGGAGCAGCCTCACCTGGAGCACTGGGAGCAGCTTTGGACACCACGATATCAAAAGGACATCAAGCTATTGGAGAGTGTCCGGAGGAGATCCACAAGGATGAAGAAGGATCTGGATGGGCAAGTCCCTCCTCCCACCCCTGACCACTGGGGAACCAGCCCCTTCCCACTCTCCCGGAGGTCCCAGTGGGATCTTCTGGCCTGTTTTCCTCGTGGCCTCTCCCTGTCCACACCCACCAGCTGCTCTCACCCACCCTGGACATCTCCATTTCTGGCCTTTCTGTGATTATTCCTTTCCAAACCACTCACCCTGGTGCAGGACAAGCCCACAGCACCAGGGCTCAGATGTGTCCTTCTCAAAGTTCTTCCTCAACTTCCCAACCTGGAGCATGGAGAAGCCACCCTGCCCCCAGCCCTGCTGACCCCACATCACAAGGCACCATCACAAGATGATGATGATGAATTTTATTTCTTTCCGGTCTCACGTGCTTCCCATCCCCCTGGGCTTGGATCCTGTGCCTGAGCTGCTCCCATCCTGGCACAGCTCTGGCAGCAAAGCTGCTCCATTTTCAGGAACCTCCTCTGGGCACCTTGGTTAAGATGAGCTTTAGGAACCCCAAGAAGCTTTAGGAGACCAGAGGAGCTCCAGAAGCCCCAAGAAGCTTTAGGAGACCAGAGGAGCTTTAGGAACCCCAAGAAGCTTTAGGAGACCAGAGGAGCTTTAGGAACCCCAAGAAGCTTTAGGAGACCAGAGGAGCTTCAGAAGCCCCAGGAAGCTTTAGGAGACCAGAGGAGCTTTAGAAGCCCCAAGAAGCTTTAGGAGACCAGAGGAGCTTTAGGAACCCAAGAAGCTTTAGGAGACCAGAGGAGCTTCAGAAGCCCCAAGAAGCTTTAGGAGACCAGAGGAGCTTTAGGAACCCCAAGAAGCTTTAGGAGACCAGAGGAGCTTTAGGAACCCCAAGAAGCTTTAGGAGCCCCTGTTCCCT